GGGGGGGGGACAATTACTCTTTGATAAATTTTTTAAAGGGGGATTCTTAGATCTGTAATTGAAACTGACAACAGGCACCTCATTCGTATTTCCCCATTTTTAATTATATTGAAATGTATAAAGAAAATTTATTACTGAATATACCTAGAGCTCTGCATATTTACCCTATACACCTTCAAATTTCCCACTTAATATTGAAAACCTTGTTGGAGAGGCTATGGCTTTTGCTTCTTGAATGGGCATAATACTCCAGAGATGTAATTAAGAGTAAAAACAGATATATGCAGTAAAATAAAATGGACATGCAGATCCCATATCTTGACTACTATTAAACTATCATCGAAAAAGAATTAAACATCCTAATCTACAAAATTACCAAAATATTGTAGAAGAGATACATCCCTACTAAAACAGAACCACACATCGCCAGAACGCCCTCTGAGCAGACCATCGCAAATCGAAATTGATTCGACACTTGTTCGCCAAGTGATGTTCATCGTTGTGGTGTTGCACAGTGGCACGGGAGGTCATGCTTTTCTATAGATGGCATAGATGTATTAAGAATTCAACTACAATTTACAGATTCAGAACACTGGCTGCCACTTGTGGACAAAGGTTAACTGAAATGTAAATAAGTTCAAGGCTGCAATATTTAGAATGCAAGACAGATCTGTTTGTGACGGTTGCACATGAATTAAAACTCAGAACTGCGAGACCTGAAAAACTAAAATCCCACAAATTCATAAGAAAAGCTTACGATGTGGAAAACTCAGCAAGTGATCACACATATGTGGAAAGCTAAAAGTTCAGGTGGTATTTTCCTTTCCTTCTGAAGAACCTCTGTACCTTTCTTTAAAGAAATGACCATGCAAAACTGGTTTTGGTCCAGAAGTGCAGACTGATATACGACCACTTTATCCACTTGCACAGAAAAGTTAAAAATGAAAATTGCGACATTTTGTGTTCAGATTATCAATATTCAATGTAGCAGCTGGGTTAAATAAACGGCAGTACAATATATGATCTCATGGACCAACCTAGCTATTCAACATAAACTACACTGAACGATGGGCGAAGCAGAACGGGTAAGCGAGACTGCAAGGTCAACCTAAATTAAGACGGGGAGATTCACTTACATTTAGGTATGTGTAGATTTTTTTTCGCTTCCAATGCTTCCGTGCAGCATCAACACGCTGAACATCAAGCAAAGGAAGAAATAATGAGCAACACAAACCAACAAATAAATCTAGTATCAGCTTGATATGAAAAAAATCATACCATAAAATATTTGTTCGACTATTGTACACATCAAGAGAAACCCGCTTGATACTGAACATAATGGAATAAGAATAGTAATTTTTTAGGTTTAGACAGCCCAAGCTTAATAACTGAAACAAGAAGCAGACGATGTTGTTGCCTGAGAGGCTCCTTGGATAGATTCAATTCGAATAGAAAAGATGTTTTACTTATTAATTCATAGAATGAATTTAATACTGTTCTGTTGTTTAAACAAATTCATCATGAAGGTTGCCTCATTAACAACCCATGAGCAAGAAATTTCCATCCACCTCTAGCTTTCGTCCTTGGTATAAAATACAGCAGAGGACATGACGGAGTAGAGATAATCATGTGCCCTTGCCAGAAACCTGATTATTTACGCGCATGGATGCATAACCCATCGGACAATCACCTAGTCATGGAAAACCAGCAGAAATCATTGCTGCCATGCAGAATCAATTAAGCAAGTGCATGCGAGCTAATAAGTCAACTCCACCGGCCACCACACCTTGGTGGGGTGCAGACTGCTGAAAGCCACGCGGCTTTCCAATAAGTTTTGGCATAACACACAGTAGAATAGCAACATGAAATCGAGACCAGAGAGGAAGCATGATATCTCACCTGCTGACGGAGACGATAATGAGAAGAGGAGGATGGGCATGGGCGATGAGCGCGTTGCTTTAGGGGAAGCTAAAATCACCCCGATTTCATGAAATAACACCCAGGAATCAAGAGGGAGGAGTTGGAAAAAGGAGGGGGAGGGTCTAAATAACTATCGTCTTTTTTTTCCTTGCAGAAATTGAGGAGAAAATTGGAAAGTGCTGATTTTGGGCAGCAAGTACCACTTGTTGAGACCTTTAGTGTCATTTTCAGCTAAGTGAACCGACTTACTGATTAACTGATACTTTTCCAATAAACACAGAACTGTGCTAAATTAAGAGTAATATGATCAAGCATGCCCTGCACAAATATGAAAAAATGTTCAGCTTATTTTTCTGAACAGGGCAAGTCCAAACGCTCGTCCCTTGGTCTTGGGTACAGGAAAGCTATGTTCGTATTTTTGCATGAACTAGAGTCTGAAGGGAAGAAAGCAAATCGGGTTCCAACTTGTGATTAGAGGCAGCGGGGGAAAGCCTAAAATCTGATAAAAATATATCCGCTGAAATAAAGTTAGGACGCCAATTCTGTACGAGACTTCCGCAAGAACTTGAATTAGAAAAGGGAATCGATACCAAAGCCCATATCCACTTACGCCATGAATCAGGTGAGAAGCTCCGACCCCTTGCCCCCGACCCACCTTGCCCTCGAGCCGCCGCCGCCTTCTCCTCCCACCCACTCCTCTCTCGAGGCAACGATGTTGGCGTGGCTGCGTGCTCGTCGGCGTCGCCCTTAGGCTCCAGATCCGGCGAAGAAATCGGCTGGACCCATCCTGCTCGCCCCCTTGACTGCCCTCTGCTGTAGCCTGGAAGATGTGGAGGAGAGGAAGAGGTTGCGTGTAGGGATGGAGAACGTGGGGGTGCGACTTGGGCTGCAGGCGTACAGAGGCCTTCTTTCCCTTCCCTCGTAAGCTTTCTCTTGGCTATATCAGCCACGACCGGCCAATAGAAAGAAGCACAACTTGCCCAATCGACGAGCACAGTGAATCCGACGTGGCATAGCCCAGAGAACGCTCTTACCGCGACTGTTAATGGGTTTAATCCATAGCCAAAGAAGATAGATCACCCGATGTCATTCATTAAATGTTGAGTGGATCTGCATATGTACTCCCTCCGTTCCAAAATATAATGCGCCCGCGCTTCCCGAGGTCCAACTTTAACCATAAATTTAACCAACGAGACCAACTGCGGCCGGAGAAAAAATTATATAATTGAAAACTTCATTCGAATACGAATTCACTGATATAATTTTTGCTCCCGCCGCAATTGGTCTTGGTAGTTAAATTTATAATCAAAGTTGAAGCACGTGGATAGAGGAAGCACTACATTGTGAAATGGAGGGAGTAGTATAATAATTTTATACAAAATGTGGATCTACTCTTTATATATAATATCGCGTTCTTCACATAACATCCATCTAAAAAAGGAAGCACTCCATTCCGAGTTTCACTGAAATAACACATTTCCTTGTACCCATGGGTTGTGGTTATGTTTTCATATCAATCTTGTTGTGCATTTTGTTCACTCCTTACTACATCACTTTGGTCGAATCAACAGATGTAGGTGGCAGTTTACAAATGAATAAGAAGGTAAATAAAGTGTATTTTTAGCCTTCGATGCAGAGAGTCTTGTTCTGTTCCTTATTTATTCACCCTATCCTACTTGATGATTTGATCCCGATGGTCAATATTATTTGTAGCGAGTTCGTACTATTCTCTATTAATCATGTGCCAGATTATCAATTAGGACATTGGATTTCAAAAGAAATACTTGTAGTCTATGAGCTTGATGCAACAATTATGCTACTAGCCAAGAACTAACATTTTTCTTTACAGAACACCACTCTTTTTAGGCATATGCCTTTTCCGTTTGTCAAAAATCAAGATGGAGGAGGCAATATTATTTCTCATGTACTCTCTCCCCCCCTCTCTCTC